ACATTTCCATTTAGGAACTAATATTTATTTTTTTTCTTTCTCGCTATCATCATCATCATCATCATCATCATCATCATTATTATTATTATTATTAACGCGTGGTTATAGAGAGAGAAAAAAAATATGTACGTAAAAAATATTACCCGTGAGAAAAATTTCAGAAAAAAATTTTTTTTTCTTTTTTGATAAATACTCCAATTTTTGAAATTTGTTCGTTTGTTCGTTCGTGCGTGTGTACGTGCGTGTGTACGTGCGTGCGTGCTGCGTATATACAAATTCTTATCACAAAACTTATCACTCATTGTTTTTTACGTTTAGCAATTGTAAAATAGTCGGAATCGAGCGTAAAAAAAAAAATTAAAATAAGAGAAATAGACGGATAGATAGAGACAGAGAGAGAGGGAAAATTTGTTTTTTTTCTTTACAAGTCCTAATAGATTATCTGGATGGGAAAGGATGGGAAAGAGAAAGAAAAGAAAAAATAAATTTTAACCATTAACCTAATGAAGGTTTTTCTTTTTTTATTTTCTTTTTGGGGTTAAAATGAACTAAAAACTTGTTAACGGGATAAAATCTGATCCATTTTTATCTTTTCTCTGTCGCCCCTATTATCTCTCTCTCTCTCTCTTTTCTTTTAAATCCAGTTTAAATATAATTAATCTTTTCCGACGAGTAAAACATTTACTTTTTCTTTTTTTACTTTTTTTTGTTTGCGGGTTATCGGATAAATAGTAAAGTAAAAAAAAAAAAAAAAAAAAGTAAATTTAACAAAACGTAATTAGTTAATTAATTATATATATATTGTTATATTCGGTTCGTTCTTTATTTTGTAAGTAATGAACAAGCACTTAAAACTATCACTATAACAAAACTAATATTAATAAACAAGAACTTATTACAGCTAGACTAAAAATCAAATGAACACACGCAAAGCTGTGTAGCTTCCCTATATTACTTTGGTCTTTCGTTAGTCAATTGTTTCGAACGAGCAAACACTTGCAAATAAAATAAAAGAAATAATTTCTAGAAGCTTCGCTTCTAAAGAAGAACAATTTGAGTTCGTCGCCAGTCTTTTGTTTATAAAAATTGAAAAATGTGAATATTGAGTACGGGATCATAACACCTCCCCCCTTAAGACGGAAAACAATTATTTTGAAAAAAGAATTTGTTTTCTCCTCTTGTTCGGATTTGACAGCTTCCTATGTCGGGTTCTGGATGGTTCCGTCCAGGTTGAGACTCCTTGAGTAGTAGTAGTGCTATGTCTTCTGTATGGTAGACTGTTGTATCCCTTCA